ACGAAACAATACCATAACGACTTTGTCAACAACTGTGCCCACATACTTTTGATTGATTTCGTAGTATTCTCTGGAATCCCACAATCACACATGCGAGTAATGGAGAGATTTGACCTTAACTCAGATCATTCTCCAATAATAGCAATTTACAGCACAATAGCCCATATGTTGGTAAAGCCATATAAAGTCATAACAGCCTCTACACACATTAACGCATTTAAAATCTATATAGACTCAGCTCTAAGCCTGGACATTTCGTTAAAAACAGGAGAGGAGATAGACTATGCTGTGGAGATGTTCACAAATACAATTCATAATGCGAGCTACAGAAACACGAATCATGCTCTTAATCATCAACAACCAAACCAATTGTACCTTTCAACTTCGACAAAAATACGCTGGCAAGAAACTCACTATCCTGCTGACAAAAGATTATACAACAAGGCTGCATCTGAGTTTAGATAACTGCTGTCGAACTTACGCAATGAATCTCTAGCTGCGTATCTGAGAAACTTAGACCCTAATTCAAGCAACAATGAGTACAACCTATGGAGGGCGACTAAATAGCATTTGCACAACATCTGCACTATTATATAACAGAGACTGAAGTAGAAAAATTCCTTGGTGACTCAAGGAGTGCCAAATGAGATTGCCTATTTAAAGCATTAGATATGAAGAACTTGTGACAGAAATCAGATGCTTGAACAATAAAAAAGCACCAGGCCCTGATAAAATAGACGGCATTATCCAAGTCAATGGAAATGTGCAGAGATCGTTATGATCCAATTCCTTCCTAAACGGAATTGACATCATACCGTCCCATTAGTCTGTTGACAATATTCTCGAAAGTGTTTGAAAAAATACTATTGAAGCGAATGATGCCAATTTTGGACGAACTTTCCATCATTACTGAAAACCAATTCGGATTCAGGAGAGGTCACGGGACCCCTGAGCAATGTCACAGGGTTATTAATGATATAGTCTCGGCATTTGACAACAAAAAATACTGTACTGCTGCATTTATAATGTTCAACAAGCGTTCGATCGAGTCTGGCACAAAGGTTTGTTGTACAAGATAAAGAAATGGCTACCTGCTCCGTACTATTTATTAATCAAATCATATCTGGCTAAAAGATGCGCTTAACGGCTCACGACTTTCGACTTACGACTTAAAACACTAAAATTGTCCTGGTTGCTAAGTCGAAAATCAGATTCCACTTTGGAAAACTAAATTCGCCTCTACAAATCCATAATGAAGCCTGTTTGAACCTACGCTATACAGCTTTGGGGGACTGCTAGCAACTCAAATATTGAGATACTTCAGCGTTACCAATCAAAAACTTTGCGACACATTGTCAATGCTCCAATGCTGTCAAAGATCTTAATANTGAAAACCAATTCGGATTCAGGAGAGGTCACGGGACCCCTGAGCAATGTCACAGGGTTATTAATGATATAGTCTCGGCATTTGACAACAAAAAATACTGTACTGCTGCATTTATAATGTTCAACAAGCGTTCGATCGAGTCTGGCACAAAGGTTTGTTGTACAAGATAAAGAAATGGCTACCTGCTCCGTACTATTTATTAATCAAATCATATCTGGCTAAAAGATGCGCTTAACGGCTCACGACTTTCGACTTACGACTTAAAACACTAAAATTGTCCTGGTTGCTAAGTCGAAAATCAGATTCCACTTTGGAAAACTAAATTCGCCTCTACAAATCCATAATGAAGCCTGTTTGAACCTACGCTATACAGCTTTGGGGGACTGCTAGCAACTCAAATATTGAGATACTTCAGCGTTACCAATCAAAAACTTTGCGACACATTGTCAATGCTCCAATGCTGTCAAAGATCTTAATATTCCAACCATTAAAGAAGAAATAAAGAAAACTAGTAAGAAATACATCGACACACTCCACAACCACGAAAATAATTTAGCCTTAAGTCTATTAGACAATATCTTAACAGTAAGAAGACTGAAAAGATGCCACATTCTCGATCTCCCCTATAGATAAATCCAACAAACTGAAAATAATAGCAGGGCTCATTGGAAAACTGATATTTCTGTCAATTAAATTTTAATTATGCAATTCACTTATTGTTTAAACAGACAGATTGTAAATAAAAAGAGAGCAAAAAAAGACGAGAAGGGACGTGTGAGACGCATCTTACGCGTCACAACTTTTATACCCGGCACTCAGTACTACGTCTGTACCGTTTCCGACCCCATAAAGTATATATTCTTGATCAGAATCAATAGCCGAGTCGATTGAGCCATGTATGTCTGTCCGTCTGTTCGTCTTGTTTGTCGGCTTGTTCTCAGAGACTATAAAAGCTAGAGCCACCAAATTTTGGCTCTGGACTGCTGTATGCTCACACTGAAACCAGCGTATTTCAAAAATGAGCCACGCCCCCTTCCGCCCCCGCAAAAGGGCGAAAACCTCCCAAATCTACAATTTTGAAGATAAAAGAAAACTAAAAATTCCGTAGGGAATGACCATATCTATCAGATCATCAAATTGGGATCCGATTGGATCATTATTATAGCCAGAATAAAGAAATTAATTTGCAGTAAACCCACCCTGTCCCGCAGCTTTTGTTGTTCTTTTTACATTCTCTCATTCACTCTCAGCGAGACTGCAGTATGTCGGTCTAGGGAAGGGGCTGCGAGCTAACGGAGCGTGTTGGTGTGAGAAGTGTTGTAGATGTAGATGACAGATGAAGAAAAAATTTAAAATTTGACAAAACACCGCTGAGGTGCAGATGCACTATTGTCCCAATGACCAGTTTTGGTGGCTGTTTACGCCAAATTAGTATTTTGTATAAGTAAAATGAATTTGTAGCATTAAGATATTGAATTGCTGCATTTACGACATACTCACAGAAGTTTGTTGCTATAGAACATACATGTGATATGTGAATACGATAGGGAAAGAGGAAGAACATGCATTTATTAGGTGAATATCGAAATTGAAAAGAAGAAGAGATTAAACTGATTTGAATTCCGACTCGGTCGAACCAGCAGCACTTGGCTTTTTATTTCGAGATTTTGATTTCGAACTGGTTGCGAGGAGTTGCGGAAACAGTGGCCAAACGCTAATTTTTAAAAGTTAAAACCAAGACTCGGTTTTTAACGCTCTGTATTAGAAAAAGAGTGACAATCAAAGTTACGTACAAGAAAATTTCATAGATGGCGCCACTTTCGAAAAATCTGATGTGAAACCTAGCAGTCATTATTGCACAGAATGTGCAGGGAAAAAGTACCAATTTTATTTCTGTTTTAAATATCTCATAAATTGGAAAATACGATTAACTGATCCAATTTTTTGATGCATTTTATTTAGTAGGCTTTTACTACGTGTTCTGTAATGTGAACGATATCTAGTGGTTGGCGATGTCTTCTACATCTAGATGTAGTCCTGAGTGCCGGGTATAAAAGTTGTGACGCGTAACAAGCGTCTCACACGTCCCTTCTCGTTTTTTCTTAGTTCCCAATGCGATTTGGAATATTGAGGGACCGTTGAAATGAGAATCTTGAACTAGTGTTACAGTTTTAATTGTCAGTGTAGATCTACAGTATAGATCTCTATATTTGTTAATGGCAAATTTACACACCATTAGCTAGAAAAATTCAGAAGGAAATTCTCTGTCGCAAAACAGATGGCTTGAATGCAGATTAGCTCTGAAGCTTTCTGAATTGCGCCTCCATTCATTTGAGATTACATTCATTTGTTCAACAGTGTTAGAAATAACTTCTTAACAGAAAATAATTGAAAAGTTTCATGATGTTGATTCATCAAACTTCTTTCCTTTGGCACCTAAATTAACGGACAAACACATTAATCCGTAAGGATTTGACAGAATGAATACTTCACTGGCCGTTCATATATTTTCCAAGGCGGTCAGTACAGGCATTCAAATGTTTGCTGATCGTAATGCATTTGGAGACAAAGATACAGAAAAAGCTGCATCAATGTTTTTAAAAAGAATGATCGATTCTTTTGACCCTCTGCACCACACCTATTTCCGAGCTGACAAAACATTTGAAGGCCGGCTAAATAAATAAGCGACATGCCTGACACGGTTGATTGAAACTTGCAAAACAATCAATCAAATCACAATTCTTCCAGCGAATCTGCACATATGTACATATTTTTTCCGATTTCTTTAAGCAAACTCCACGCGCGTAGAATTTTGCCAAAAATATTGTTGAGCAATGCATTAACGATGCATAATTGGTTCAACGCTGCATATCCATGCTCTTCTCATAGACATGAAATCCTAGCATATTTGGTAAAAGTGTTTGCGACAACAAACTTTAAATGGGGCAATGACAAATTGGATACCATAAAATCATTAAAATTGGGCATAAATCTGCGAGAATTAAAAAATATATATAAAATTCAATAAATAAAGGAAGGACAATTACATTCCCAGAGGAATTGCAAATATGCCCAGAAAATAAAACGCATAATAAAGAATGTCTTTTGTGATTAGATAATATTCACAAAATGCTAACATACCATACCCTTATTAAAAATTATCAAATGTAGACTGTCCGATTCACCAAGATCGCTGATGATGGAGGAGTGGTTGCTTCGAAACAGTCTTTCAATGAATTAATTTTAAAATTTGCAGATTAAAGTCTAAGACAAAGTCACTATTAATTATTAACTGCAGCTGATAAAATGGATTTATAATATTAAGAATGGCAAATATATTTATTTTTGGTTGACCTTTTCTGTTTTAACCTTATTATGCAATCTATCCAGGAAAGATACATCAAAAAATCACCCAATCCTGCTGGGAATTGAATGATAGTTCGAGTAAAATTACAGTTTTAAAGCTTAAAGTCTTAACTAGCTAGTAATATCGAATAGAACATAAAAATCCAGGAAAATAATTTAAGATTCACGGTATATTTACAGAATATTTTGAAAATGCAAGGGTATATTTCGGTATATTTTCTAGCCCCTGACGGAATATTCTATCGATAATTTCGCGGTCACGCTGGCGACGACTTTGTTTTGTGCAAAAAAAAGCATGTTTGAATAAAAGCGCTGGAATACCCAAATTGGCAATGACGCAAGAGAGCACCGTGTTCGAGGAACTTAAGAAGCACTTTGGGCACACCAAGTTCAAGTCGGAGCTCCAGGAGAAAGCCATAAGATGTGCCGTGAAAAGTGAGTAGCAGAGAATTCATATGTACGAGGAATGCATCATTAATCCGCTCAAATTTTCTAAATAGAAAAGCAGGATGTGTATGTATCGATGCCCACGGGTTCGGGCAAGTCACTGTGCTTCCAGCTGCCCGGACTCATGTGCGAGAGCCAGCTAACGATTGTTTTTTCGCCCTTATTGGCCCTAATTAAGGATCAGATCGATCACCTGACAAAGCTGAAAGTGCCCGCCGATTCGCTCAACTCCAAGATGACACTCAAGGAGAGGGACAGAGTTATCATGGATCTTCGTGCAGTCAAGACCAACCTCAAGTTCCTCTATATCACACCCGAACAGGCGGCTACAAAGTTTTTTCAGGAGCTGCTGCAAACTCTCCACAAGCACAATAAGCTGGGTTACTTTGCCGTGGACGAGGCACACTGTGTTAGCCAGTGGGGCCACGACTTCCGACCCGACTACCTCAAGCTGGGGGAGCTGCGGTCCAAGTACCCGGACATCGTCTGGCTGGCCCTCACGGCCACCGCCTCCAGGGAGGTACGCGACGACATCTATAAGCAGCTGCGACTTCACCAGCCCGTGGCCCAATTCAGCACTCCCAGCTTCCGGAAGAATCTCTTCTATGACATTGTCTATAAAAACTCCATCGAGGACGACTTCCAGCACCTTGCCGACTTTGCCCAGCACTGTCTGGGCGACGTCAAGGAGTTTAAAGCTATGGCCAAGCCACAGCGTGGGTGCGGCATCATCTACTGTCGCACCCGAGATCAGGTAGAGCGTGTGGCTGTGGGTGTATCCAAGCAAGGCATCGGCGCCGTGGCTTATCACGCAGGCCTGAAGACCGCAGAGCGTACGTCCGTGCAGGAGGCTTGGATGCGGGGCGACCAGCCCATCATCTGCGCCACCAACAGTTTTGGCATGGGCGTGGACAAGGCCAGTGTTCGTTTCGTTATCCACTGGGATGTACCGCAGAATGTGGCCGCCTACTACCAGGAGTCGGGCCGAGCTGGACGCGATGGCATGCAGTCCTACTGCCGGCTCTACTACGGCCGGGAGGATGTGCGCAGCATTCGATTTCTTCTCCAGAACGATGTGCATCGAGCGCGTGGTCGAGGCGACAAGGAACTGCTCACGGAAAGGGCGCTGAAACAGTTCGAGAAGATCTCGGATTTTTGCGAGAATACTGGCTGCAGGCACAAACTGTTTGCGGATTTCTTTGGGGATCCTGCGCCGCAATGCAACGGACAGTGCGATGTCTGCAAGCGGCCCAAGAACGCGGAGAAGGCCCTGGAGATGTTCCACCGCCTGTGCATGGATGACGCCTTCAAGTCGCACATTTCTCTGCAGGACTGTGCAGATCTATATGAAGGTGAGCCAGCCATTTAATAGCCTAAGCACCATTTATTCGAATCTCTCTCCATCTTCCGTGATTGTCCAGGGGGTCGAGCGGGTGTTAAGCGTGCAGCCAAGGACTATGCCGCCGGTGAGTCTGGCTCCGATGACGATTCCGGCCAGAGCCACTCGTCGATGGCCAAGCGGGCCAAGAAGGAAGCAGCGGACTTCATACAGCAGCAGTTTAAGCTGCGAAAACAAATCAGCGCTGCCCGCCAGCTGGAACAGGAAAAGTGTGCACAAATTGCTCGGGTGCATCACGCCGAGGCCACGGAGAAGAAGATCTCTGGCCTCCAGCACACCCAAAGAGAAAAGTATCTCACGGCCATCATCGATGCCCTCAAGGCGAATGTGGAGAAGTGCCAGGAGGACGAGGAACAGCAGCCCCGGAGCGCCCTCCGGTACAACGACTATGAGGCCTTAGCTGTCGAGATGGAGTATGAGGTGTTCCGGCAGCAGAAAGTGGCGAACATGTATCGTCATGCCTTGGTTAAGCAGGTCCTAACATGAAATGCCCCTCGAAATCATTAAAACCTAATGTTATAACCCACAGATTTCCGTCATTAAGCAGCTGACTGGGAAGACCAAACTGATGCCCCTGCTGGCTGACTACGTGCCCAAGCCTCAGACTACCGCGAAAGGTGCCTGGACGGGCGGCAGTGTGGCCTACTTCGAACGAAAACTGAAAGAATTGGAGGAGCAAAAGCCGCTGAGCCTCCAGGAAACACCCAAAGCTCTGAAGGAGAGGAAAGGCTTCAAACAGGAGAACAGTACGCAGACCTCCATTGCCAGCTACTTCAAGAAGGTGAAAGAAGAGGTAAAAGAAGAAACACTGATGGAAGGTGCAGAGGATACACCGCAGGAGCCTTTGGCTGTGAAACATGAACCAGGAACGGAGGAAGAAACGGAGAAGAGTTGTGACAAAAGTTCAGAGGAAACAATAGCTCAAGAGAGCCCCAAGTATAGGGCCGAAGTAAAAAGCATCGTTGGCGATGCCAATGGCGATGGCACCTTCGCTACCCATCGCAGAAAACGAGTCTCCCATGAGCTGACCAAAGAGAAAAAGCCTCCCAAACCCGCTCCCCCCTCTCTGCCACTGTTTGCTTCGAAGGAGGAAAGGGAACAAGCTCTGACCGCCTTCAAGACAGCTCGCCAAGCTCTCGAAGACAAGCTGGAAAAATTGGAAAGAAAAACAGATATCCTTGGATTTATTGAAGCCAAACAAACGGTGGACAGCGCCCATCTAAAAGAAGCCACTTCTGAGCTACTGAGACCAGTGATGGAGAAGCAAAGGCGAAAAGACAAGATTGCATCTCAAACAGAAATAAAATTGGAAAATAATTGCACAAGAGAAAGCAGAGAAATTAATAAAGATCCAACGGTTGTGGAAAAAAAGTCAAAAGAAGCTACATTTCAAGGAGGAGGGCCAAAGGAGATAATCTCCGAGAAAAGAGACCAAGAGGAGCCGAGACACCCAAATAGAAAAGACCAGAAAACGCCAGTTATGCAGCAAAAGAACGATGTAAGCAAGAATGTGGTACACTGGCTAAATCCCTACTACAAGCGAAAAATAGCCAACAAGGAGCTCTTCAAGGCCCTGGCCAAACTAATCACTAGCCGCATCTGCGACGGTAGTCTAGGTGAGACCTTACTCTTTATTCACATTTATTAAAGTACACTCAAGTTTGGCATTTACTTGTGCTTCCCCAGGCGATGGAGATGCTGGCAAATGCTACATCAAGGAGACCTTTCATGGCCTGCAGATGATTAAAAACGATCAGGACATTGAGCAATTTTTCAACCAGTCAAAATAATTTCCTATTTTGGGAACCAAATTAAGGGTTCGCATCGGAAACATTGCCGCGATTCAATCTTGTTAAGAATCATAGTTCAAAACTCGTTTTTTTGTCGTTAATTTGTTTGATAATTAATATTTGTATATCATAATTGGTTTGGACGAGTTTTTTGTAATTTCCGATTCAAGAAAGCCATGCGCAGATCTGTATTATCCTGCCTGCAATATCTGTATATACATAATTGCAAAAAATTTAACTAGTTTCTTGGAACGAATAATCTCTCATAAAAAATGTATTTGTGTTGTTTCTTAAATGCTAACTGGATTAGAGAAATAATTTCGCGTTCACATTCGCGATGGATAAAAAAAAACAAAACAAAACGGGCTGCAGGTGATGCTTAAACAATCTTTCAAGTTCCTTTGACTTCTTTTTGTACATTTGTCTTTCGATAATGGCAAATCTGATGTTTCTTTTCTTTTTACAGATTTCGTGGGGCTACAATTTGATGGGGCTTAAGACTAAGATAGCGCTATAAATATAACAGGCGACGCAAGGCGCCCTGTCATTCCAAATCGCCATGGACACCGAAGCGAATGGTCAGCAGTATGTCCAGTAGATACACGAGGGAAGTGACCAGAGCAATAGAGGCTGATGCCATAACCAGGTCCAGGCGGTGCATGTTCGGGTGCCAATAGTTTCGATCCTTGGTGGTCGACCAGTCCCGGAAGAGTAGAGCCGTAACGGCCACAAACAAACAGAATGCCACCAGGGACCACAACGTTGCAGTGCGCCAGGGTGTCCTAGGAATGTAGACACTTTTAGTACCTGTGTGCTTGACGTAGTCCTCCTTATACACTCACAGATCACCGACCAGAGCCATTATCAGGTAGATCGCCGTATAGATGGTCAGAGCTCCAAAGGTCACATAACAGAGGGCCATTACACGGGGTGTGATGAAGACTCGCAAGTGGGAGTTGGTGGCCGGTTCGTCGATCAGACCAAGGCAGCATATTAACAGGCACTGTGGGAATATTTGGGACGCAGTTAGTATTCAGAAACAAGTAATTTATAATTTTTATAAAGGGTAACAATTATTTAATTAACCACACGTTGTATGCTTGAGTTTATTGAGACCTGCCGCCTTCTAGAATGAACTGTATTGAAAATGTGCCGACATATTTCTTGACTGCCATACAAAAAATTAATACTAATTTTAATACAGATTGTCTAGCTTATATAATATTAATAGCAAATTTGTGACAAACTATAGACTTTGGTATGTTTCACTTACCAACTCTACAACTTTGATGCATATAAGAGTGTATGTGGCCTTTTTGTTGCCACTCGTGGTGGCAAAGGAGTTGTCATCTGCTGGCGACATTTCCAAGCGTGATATTTCTTCAGAAAATAAATCAATTAATTAATTAAGCAAGTCAATTATATAAGTACACATATAAAAGAATTGAACATTTAACATTTGCTCAGTACAGAGGAAAATTTGGAGACAGTGTTCGAAGGGCGGTTATACATATGTGTTTACATATGTATACGTTTTTTTGTATATACCTATCGATCGTAAGTAACTCATTTTTCTGTGTGCGTCTTAAACGTAGGCGACCTATGGTGGAAACGATTTCATCAGTTCGTTTATATTTGAACGTTTTGTTGTCGGGGATTTATGGCCATATTTGGGGCCCGTGTCTGGGTTACTTGTTATTGGATTCTGAGTGATGGTCGGTGGAGCGTGCAATACGATAAACGGAATATAGTGTCGATGGTGAATTTGTGTCAATTGATGGTCGAAGGTCTCCCACATGAAACTCAAACACATCGGAACCCACAATAGTTAAGGGTAGATATAGACAGTCAGTTATATATAATGACGGATTCCAATCCTCAATGATGTCATATGTTTGGGTGTGTGTGGTATTTGGTTGGGTGGATTTTGATCGCCTCTGGGGTGCTCAGATGCATACCAAATACGCAAGCAACCTACGTGAGCTTCCCGTCAAAAGCTTATACATAAATAATTAAAGATAACTAACTACTATGTCGTTCTCTTGTCACACTCAATTTATTATTCCATTTCATACCTAATTAATAAATGAATAGCAATGGATCCACAACAATGCACTCGATTGTTACCTACATTGAGCCCCTTTCCCATTCAAAAGATTTGATATATGTATATGTGTATGCACACACAAATGCACAACTCCGCACAACTATGGGCTCTCTCCATGGTTCAGCCGACAGTACGTACCCCCATTGATTGAAGCTAATTGCACCACACAAAGAGCAAAACACAAAAGTCCAAAAAGAGCTAAAGCCACATACACGCAGGGGAATAGGTTTGTCGGGGGGCCGGGATATGTTGTGCCAGTTAACCCCGCACTCTGTAACCCAATAAACAACAATTAAAGTCAAGAGCAGACAAATTAACGCAAGCTTAAACTAACCCCAGAAACTCAATCTTAAAAAGGGATATCTGCGGATAGGGAGGCTTTTGAGATACATAATACATACATATTTTAGTCTGTAGGCTTTAGAAACAAAAGCACGAAAGAGTTATAGAGAAGGTGGCAATAACTCAATCGAAAAGTGTCGAATTAGCCAGCAATTAATGGCAGGGATTGCCAACAAAAGATTATTGGTAAGTAGGTGAATTTTTCTGCTCTAAACTTTAGTATGACGAAACACTTATGTAGATATGATTGGGATATCTACACCAACCAACCAACAACTCGAATTGTTGCCCCCAACGAGACATTGGTCCTCGACTGGCTCTCAAGCGGTGAAATGCCTGCAGCTAACGGTTTTTCGTGCTACGCGTTGGTAACGAAGAAAGCCCGAAAAGATGAAGCCAAACAAAACACGCAACAAGCCACGAAGCAGCGGAGAAAAAAATGTAAACAAAACAGGCAAGCTAAACTGGTTTCGAGAGAGAGATAGGTTGAGAGAGAAGTGCGAAGAGAGAATATGGCCAAGAGACAGTAGAGTCATGAAGAGATATAGCCACACCTGTGTTGCGTTTGCGTGCCTTCTGACAGAGAACCACTTTTCAGCCAGACGTGTGAACTTACCTCGTTTCGCTTTCGGGCTCTACAGGGACTTTCTCAAAGTTATTCGTTCTGTCCTGAGCGAAGCAGCCCTATAACTGGTCTGTCTTTGGGTCAATGACTTCTTCATTCTTCGTTTTGTTTTGGCTCTGTCGATTCTTTGGACTCATGCATGCAGCGACGAGACCATAAATGCTGACAGACTTAGACTTAATTTGTTTTAATTAAGACCCATTTCCAGTTCCTACCCACAGTAGAGACTGGCCAAGAGAACACCATCATCTCCAACTTGAGCGATGGGAAAATGCGACACTACGAAACGTGTTTTTCAGAGCCGCCTTCTCCTCATGCGTGGCCTCCCCCTCACTAGCTTTGATATGCATAACTGGCAAACTGGTTACGGGACAGAGAGAGAGAGAGACAGCCTAAAATGCATGTATGTACATACATGCATATGTATATTTGTCTGTATGGAGTAGGCGCCTACTGTACTTGCCAGCGCTGGAGAAGAGACTACGACTCGACTCCCCCTAGCGAAGGAAACTGCGATTTTCTTTGCATTTTTTGCATATGATTTCGTTTTTTTGTTGACCTCATTCAGACCCGCACCCAAAGTATACAGAATAGTTTCAAACTCTAGGTTCAGCTTTGCAACGTGAGGGATTGGCTTTGGGGTAGTTACTGTTAGGGGTTGCCTAGCAGCCCGAACGGTGGTTGTTGGCGAATTCAATGCCAAAGCTATTGGGTAAGGTTTGTAGGGCCTTCCAGGTTATATTGGCTTTGTCTGTGACGTGTCTGCACGTGAAGGTCAGCGTCCAATGGCTCAATTGATACATCATCAAAAAGGATTTGGGTTCAATAGGCTACCCAGCGGTGGATGGGTAGTTATAATTGAGTGTGAGTGTAGACAGCCATCTATTTCACTCAAAGAATTTGAAATATACATACTGACTTAGTTACAATGTAAATATAAAAAGAAATAGTCTTCGAGTCTTCGAGAGAAGAGGCATGAATAAATGGAAAAAATATTTTTAAATCACAAATTCTTCTGTTCAAATAAATGTGAATACAAACATTTTTGAAAAATTCCAAAGAGACCAACAATTAATCATAATATAAATTAAATGTATTTACTGGACACAACTATTTGTCAACACTTAAATCTAATAAACATCTCATTCAAAGGGAGGGGCTGAGAAAACTGTGAGTCACAATTGTTCATATGTACATATGTATATTGTGCTGAATTAGCATGTCTAACAATAACAGCAGAGAAGATCGTATTCCTGATCTGTACTCATAGTTGTTTACTGTACAATTAGCTCTGGGAGGGGCTTGGGGCCCAGGGATCCAGCATGCAGCACATACTCGGAGCAGCGATTGTCAGAAATCTTTGGAGGGACTGACACAGAAGCAGACACTTAAGTTTAGCTGCTTTTTTTCTGCTTTATGCTTTTTCAGCTCTTCGAATATTAGTTATTGCTGGGCAAATGAATAACTGGTTTTTTTTTTGTGGTTTTGTGGGTTACGTTACTGCATTTGGTTATTACATTTTTCAAAATATCGTTGCGGTTGCGAGAAGTGCAGAAATCTGGTTAGCTTTGTGTTATTTCTCACTCTAATTACACAGACACACACAACACACAGATAAAATACAGTATTTTCAAATCGCGCCTAATGTATTTTCTGGTTCAGTCGGAAATAGTTTTCGAACCGACCGCCTGCGTCAACGTCAAGTAACTGAAGCGTTGTTAGCTAGCGAGAGTCAAGCTCTGTTAAGAAGCTACTAACTTAACAGTGGCAAGCTCTGTTAAATTTTAAACTACATAACATTGAAGTTACAAATATATAACTGAGCTGCTAGCCACCGAAATGTAAGCTCTGTTAGTACGAAAATTACTTCTTGCCACTTTGAAATATTATAAAATTTAATTTTAAACAATTTAATTTAATTTTTTTAGTACGCAGCCTCATCAGAGTGGTTTTCATTATGTGTTTTTAACTTGGATAAAATTATTTTTTGAGTAGTCTCAAGTCGTTAAATAAGTATCTGAAACGATAACACTACTCGACAAATTCCAACCTTTTTTTTTTCCGCTTCGAACCAAACCGACTTTTTCTGATAGACTGAGGGCTTAAAACTTTTTTAAATACTTTTTTTTTATTAATGGTTTTTTTTCTATGGCAGAACTTTTTTTAAACGAATTTTTAAAGTCTGGTATTTTTTTGTAACGGTTTTAAGAGGGAGCGCTTCTTATTTCACATAACTTAAGTATTTTACATATGGTTGTAATGAACTTAGCCATTTCATAAAGCTGATGAAAACATCTATAAAGTGTACACAAGCACTTTGTGGTTTCAGCTTACCATTTGAAAAATATTAAGCTTTAAAATGCAAAAATGTTGATGTTCTTCTTACAAAATTTTAATTTCAAAAACTCGTGAGAAGTCGAAAAAAAACCAGAAGGGACGTGTGAGGCGCTTGTTACGCGTCACAACTTTTATACCCGGCACTCAGGACTACATCTAGATGTAGAAGACATTGCCAACCACTAGATATCGTTCACATTACAGAACACGTAGTAAAAAGCCTACTAAATAAAATGCATACAAAAAATTGGATCAGTTAATCGTATTTTCCAATTTATGAGATATTTAAAACAGAAATAAAATTGGTACTTTTTCCCTGCACATTCTGTGCAAAATTGACCGCTAGGTTTCACATCAGATTTTTCGAAAGTGGCGCCATCTATGAAAATTTCTTGTACGCAACTTTGATGGTCACTCTTTTTCTAATACAGAGCGTTAAAAACCGAGTCTTGGTTTAACTTTTAAAAATTAGCTTTCGGCCACTGTTTCCGCAACTCCTCGCAACCAGTTCGAAATCAAAATCTCGAAATAAAAGCCAAGTGCTGCTGGTTCGACCGAGTCGGAATTCAAATCAATTTAATCTCTTCTTCTTTTCAATTTCGATATTCACCTATTAACTGCATGTTCTTCCTCTTTCTCTATCGTATTCACATATCACATGTATGTTCTATAGCAACAAGCTTCTGTCAGTATCTTAATGCTACAAAGTCATCTACATCTAAAACGCTTCTCACACCAACACGCTCTCCACCCTTCCCTAGACCAAAATGTTGCTGACTTGCGGCAGTGGCAGAGGCAGCGCCCTCACACAAAAAAAAAATAATATAAGCTGTCAGTGAGGGGCAGAGGCAGGGGCCGAGTGAAGCAGAAGCAGAGTGTGCATGAAAGAATGTAAAAAGAACAACAAAAGCTGCGGGACAGGGTGGGTTTAGCCACTGGAAATTAATTTCTCCATTGTGGCTATAATAATGATCCGATCGGATCCCAATTTGGTGATCTGATAGATATGGTCATTCCCTACGGAATAACGTTTTTAGTTTTCTCTTATCTTCAAAATTGTAGATTTGGGAGGTTTTCGCCATTTTGCGGGGGCGGAAGGGGGCGTGGCTCATTTTTGATACGCTGGTTTCAGTGTGAGCATACAGCAGTCCGGAGCCAAAATTTGGTGGCTCTAGCTTTTATAGTCTCTGAGAACTAGCCGACAAACAAGACGAACAGACGGACAGACAGATATGGCTCTATCGACTCGGCTATTGATGCTGATCAAGAATATATACTTTATGGGGTCGGAAACGCTTCCTTCTGTGCGTTACATACAACCGCTATTCGCACAAATACAATATACCCTATTTACTCTTCGAGTACCAGGTATAAAAATCATGTGTACACTATTTTTTATAAACAGGTGCATTAATTGGGCTTCGACGAAAGAGGTAAAAGAGTGATTCCTCTTGGCAGCATAAGACTGAATGCATAACGTGGATTGTTCAATTTTTTGTGTATGGTTTGCATACCAATGGGAACTTTTGTGCCCTTTCTCTGCAGTTCAAGTTTTTAGGATGAATCCTAAGGTTTGGAAGTTAAGAGTTTTTTGGACTGTTCAAATTAGTGAAAAAGACAACTGCTTAAGAGGATGTCAATTTCCATTGCATTTAAGCAGTAAAACCTGTCACTAGTTTTGAGAACAATAAGGATTATTTGAAGACACTTTTAAAATGAAAAATTTCAAATTTTCTGATGTGTCTAAACGTTGCGTTTTAAATTTGAGCACAGAAATATCCCAGAAATATACCAAACGAAAAATGTATGTTCACACTTCCAAATATACCGTAGATCTTAAATCATATTCCTATATTTTGATGTTCTAATTAATTTAACTAGCTAGTTAAGACTCTTAGCTTTAAAGCGATAATTTTACTCGAATCATCATTCAATTCTCCACAAGATTGGAGTCATTGGAATCTTTGAAGTCATTTTCATGACTTATCTTTATAGGAATAATAATAATTAGGTGTTTTATCTCTTTATAAATTGATAAAATGAGTATAAGGTTGATAAATTTGAACATCCATAAAATCAGTTTTAGATTTAAATTTGTTCATTCAATGCTCTTTTCTAGATCTCTTGCGCTTGTTTTGCTCGCTTCCTACCATTTTTATACGAAGAGTAAAAAAGTTATATTGTACTTATTTGTGCTCGAAAGTAGATGTACGACGGCAAGCTGAAAACTAATCGACAAAACCAATATAACACATTTCTAACCTTCCAAAAACATTTTATTCGATTAGTATTTTCTAAGATGTCAGATGAAGAAAATATGTACAATTTGACAAAACACCGCTAAGGTACAGACGTAGTACTGAGTACCAGGTATAAAAGTTGTGACGCGTAAGAAGCGCCTCACACGTCCCTTCTAGTTTTATCTTATTAAATAAACGCAATTAATTTGAAAATTAATATTATTGTGTACACATGTTCTGTTCGCGTTCTTTCAAAATGCTCTTTTATGCATGCCACGGATGTGCTATGGAATGAATCCATTGAACAGTTCCGGAACGGTTCTTAATAGGTTCCTGGGGCAGGACATACATACTGTTCCATACATTCCCAAGGAACGCATCTAGATGCATGCCAAAGATGTGTTCAGTAATGCTTCTTTCGGAAACTACACTGGAAGGGAAACCAGAGCGTTCTACGAAGTTGAAATTACAACAACCATCCCTTCTACAAGCCTTCCAAACGAACCGTTATTACCTATGCAGAACAAAAAGGACTAATTCCGAGTGTTTCACTCCCTGTAAATTTGAAGCGAAAGCGTCACGCATAGTGTACCCAGCAAACCACAAACGTGCCTTTTGCGAGAGACTTGCAAAATGCTCACAAGCGAGCTCGCATGCGAGCTTGTGTGATGGTACATTTTTGTATCGCAGGTCGCTCACAGGCGAGCTCGCTACCGAGAAAAAATGAAAGTTAATTGTTGCCTTTTCGTGGCATATGTATGAATATATTGAATGTATTGAATTGAATTTGGAAAAAATGTTGATAATACGACAGAAAACGAAGTCGAGAAGCGACACCGTTTATATAAAATGCATGCAATTTAAAATAATGCAGCATAAAATCTGCATATAAAACAATTAAAATAATAGTAATAATCCATAATACACGAATAACAGCATTTTTTTGTATATTTATTTTCCCCAACCCCCAAGGGTCCGGCCACCAAGCCCCACCCCTTATTCTGCGCATGTTGCGGTAGGTCAGGTTCATACGCTAAGCCGCGAAAACAAATTTTAAACATTAAAAAGAATTTTTGATCCATCGCAGTTCAGCAAGTCAATTCACCAACACATACATACATGCGGAGTCAGTGTGAAGTCAAGAAAAAATCCTGGTTTGAGCGCTTAAAAAGGCATACGGCTGCATTTGTTTATGAGTCTTACACGCACTCTGAAATTTGTAGTTGGCACGGGGTACTCTACATGCACCCTGGAGAGGGGACGTTTTGCTTGTATGGAATGACTTATCTATATACTGTATAGCTAGTGTTCATGCCATTAACAGGGCGTTGCTATCCATCAGCTTCTGTCACACTGATATTCTTTTCTTGACAAAAGCTCGCAGATATTAAAAATACAAATTCGTTAACAATGAGCGCGTACTTCAAAAAGGGACCTAACTTTTCATGCTGCTCATTAAGGGCCTACTAATTCTTACTTCTGCGCTATTTGTGGACCGATTTGTGTGAGAAATGGCTTCCTGTCGCTGTTGTAGCTCCATGTTATCGTATAACAACTAGCAACAACAATAATAATACCAGATTTGTTTTCATGTTTTATTTCATTTCGCTAAATTTTAGTTTTGTGGTTTCATTGATGAACCATATTATACACAGATACAGAGATGAAGTACGAACTAAGGCATTAGAAGACTTGAATAAATACAATTGGGAGTACGATTCGGAAATGCGTCTACATATACACGACGGGCAAAACAAAACTTCCAACACAGTCTTTTCCTTACAGAACGCACAAAAACAATTGCCGCTACTTACATGCTATCTAACTAACAATAACCACACGAGTATAACTAAGTTACAACAACAAATCAAACACGACCTACATATGTACAGAAAAGGGTCAAATGCATCAGCACCTCAAGTCAGCAAAATGTATGCATATCAATCTCTTATCTACTCGTATCTTTAATTACTTCACAAGACTAGGCTGCTGATTCTGGCTGATTTATATTAAAGTTTTCATTAGTTTTACTTAATGGTTCAGTTCTTAATTTAATTTGCATGCATTTGATCCACGATCAGATTACACGATCTCTGAGCTTCAGACTTAGGGGCGTTTTCGGGGCCAGAA